CGCTTGGCTTCAGAACTTTTATTGTGCACGACATGTTTAACGAGTATTTTACTTCTTTTTTTTTTTTTTTAATTTCTACGCACTGAGCGTAAAACTTGTAGGGGGTAATTTTAGCGCTCTCTTTTTTGCATGTGTCACTTTGAACGTTATTTATTTCAGTAGACGTACGTGCGTACGGATACGCGTGTATATCTGGATCGGTGACGCTCTGTAGTTATGTTACTTGTACATCGAGATGTAATCTCTCCTTTTTCAGGCAACCACACTAAGTGCCTTTTATTTTTATTTTTTCTCTCTCTCTCTCTCTATCTATCTATCTATCTATCTATCCCTGTCTCTTTTTCTTTCTTTCTTCCACTCTGATTCGAACGAGGGTATTTCGACTGTCGAATTGGACAGACTTGCCTCTGTTCCTCTGCTGTTCGCGTATACACTACTGCTATACCATTGACTTTGTACAATTGACAGCTGTGCGGACGTACAAAGGATATAGATGATCCGAAGCTCTAGCTTGTTTGTCTTGCCAGAACGCGATCGCATTCACGTTTTATCACTTTCTCTCTGTTTCTCTGTTCTTTTTTGTTTCTTTTTTTCCGTTGTCGCTGCATTTAGAGACACAGTTGTAGTTATCGAGGCATGGGTTATGGTGATGTGTAACGATTAGAAGCAAATTGAGACTTTTCAGGCTTTCATCGTCTGGATTGTGTAGTACTTGGACATTTTATTCGAGGCTTCCGGGTTGGAGCTGTGTCCAATGGTTGTTCAATTTCGACGTTTTGTTAATAATAATCGTTGTTGTAACGATACTGATTGTATGTAAGGATGTAATATGAAATCTGAAAATGTAATAAATTTCAAAGTATGAAGATTTAACATGAAATCTGATATAAATCTGAAAGTGTAATAAATTTCAAAATCTGAAGGTATAATACAAATCTGAAAATGTAACAAATTTCAAAATATGAAGATTCAATATGAATCTGAAAATTTAATAAATTTCAAAATCTGAAGATATAAATCTGAAAGTGTAATAAATTTCAAAATCTGAAGATATAATACAAATCTGAAAATGTAACAAATTTCAAAATATGAAGATTCAATATGAATCTGAAAATTTAATAAATTTCAAAATCTGAAGATATAAATCTGAAAGTGTAATAAATTTCAAAATCTGAACGCCATACTATTCTTATTCGTGAAATTATTATTTATTCTTCTTAGACAGTATTAACTGTAAATAACCATGCAAATATTTCATTACAATAATGATTATCAGTGTGTCGATACCTTGATAAAGTTAACTGCAAAATGTTGGCAAAACATCGGAATTTAATAACCATTGATCACGTCTCCAAACTAGAAGAAAATTGGTATTCTTTTTCTCTTGTACACATGTTTCTCGCTGTTTCTGATTTTATTTCAATTGGAGTTCAATTAATTCTATTTCACTGGATATTCAAAACATCATCTTGATGAGATTCAATCAATAGAAATGTAGAATCTGTTAAATACAATATTTACCTAAATTTGAAATTTTCCTTTTAGCATATCGTAGATATTTAGTAAATATCGCTTTAAGTATGTGTAAAGGCTGTGATTTCTGACCGAAATATGTACGATGTCTCCATGAAGAATGTCACGGTTCCTCGTTCAGCAACCATAATATCGATATCATACTTGGTATATCATTAAAACAGAAAAAAAGAGAATGCAGGGTTCCTTTTTCCAAACTCTTTATCGAAATTATGCTAAGAGCAGGTAGTTAAATATCTCAACTAGTTTCAATTATTCACGTTGTTTATCATTTCAACTTTTCAATTGCCTTTCGTTTCAAGTTTTACACTCAGTGGCTGTCACGAGGCTAAAAATGCCTCTTATGTAACTGTGTTAGATTAACCTAATATCATTGTCATAAAAAAAAAACAATAAAAAAAATAAAACGAACTAGTCTCGAGAAGTTCTTCGAAATTTTTCCAATTAAACGCGTGAATGTTTCTTATACGATCTAGCGCTACACTATTCTTATTCATTGAACTAATATTTATTCTCTTAGACTGTATTAACTGTAAGTAACCATGCAAATATTTCTCGTTGTTCGCGTATTCGACTAATGCAATGCAAAGCTAGAAAGATTTTTATTTCACATAGTCGCGAATGTTGGAGTAATTTTCGATAACGAAACAGAAATTCTAAGACGATCTTAAAGATATGAAAATTCGCTACTTTTCAGATCAGGAATTTTTAAATATCTCACATCCTTCATTTCTTATTATAGTTTTTATTCGTTTATTATGTATTAAGTGAGTAATCGGAATATGCAAAGGACCTTTTCGCCGAAAGAAATACTTCAGGATTGTCTTAATAAGATTCAGTTAATGGAAATGTAAAATCTATTAAAAATAATAGCATTTTTTGCTTCTCGTATCATTTGATACAATCAGGAGAATTGAATCGTTAGAAGTTCACTTGAAAATTTCAATTTCAGTTAGAATTATTTCAAATGATATTTCTCTGTCAAGACAACAATATAAATCCGCGTTTATTTAATGAAAAATAGCTTAATTGAGAATTTAACAGCTTCTTGTTAATTCTGTTCATCCTTATTCTTTTATATGTGATTTTATTTTACTTATACAGGGTGAGCCACGTAAAACAGGCCACCTAATTATCTTCTTTAGCTATGGTGGTAAGAGAAGCTTTTTATACGTAATTTAAATGGCTTCAAAGGGAAGAAATTTTTTTTTTATAAATATCAATTTTTTATTTCATGGTTACCCGTGTTCTTTACATGAATATATATATATATTTTTCTATTGTGCATTTAAATATCTTGAACTGTGAGACTTCCTTTCATTTTGTGCCATTTTTTCTATCAAAAAAAGTTCTTCTTCCATCTCATTCACCCTTTGAAATCATTTGAATAACGTGCAAAAATTTTCTCGTACCACCATATCTACGGAAGATAATTAAGAGACCTACCCTGTATACAGAACAATTATCCACCGATCCATTATGACGAATTCTTTTCTTACTTAAAGAGAGGGTACTTTGAAGAAAAAATTTGATCATATTGAAAACAATTCTCGTCCAAAATACATTATTTTCAATGAAACCAAAAAAAAAAAGAAAAAGAAATTGAATTATCAATAACAGGAAAAAAAAGACGTATGTCGATAAAACTATCAATTTGGAGTGAGATTTCCTTTCTCAACGTTGTTGGTATTTTAGTTTGTTGCAAAAAAGAAAAGAAAAAAGGGAGCATCCGGTTCTCTCTGATTATTATTGATGTTTCAAAGCATACATGTGTTCGGTGCGGAGACATGTTTGTTTTCTCTTTTTACTCTCCAGGGTGATGGTATACCGTAAAAAGCTTCAGCTCATTCGAAGTAATCAATATTAATCACACTGTCATTGTTGTATCGTGTAACGTACATTTAGTATTGTAATGCTTTTTCACAGTGAGCCAAATAGACATCTAAGCGCGTAGCTCTTTATACTATTTGTTTTTTTTTTTTCTCTCTCTCTCGTATGCCGAGTGCTCTCGTTGCATGAAGCAGGAACATACTGTAACACTTGTCGCGTTAGTGTTTTCGCTGACGACACGGAAGTGAAGTTGAATAAAACGCGGCAGCCTTCGGTGTATGTAGTAGGCTGTCTGAATTATTCGTTACGAGTCAGGAAATATTATCATCATTCATTTAATTCTATATGTCGGCTGACTTAAATCGTAGTATGAAGTAGTTGCAGCTTATAAATTTCTTTCTTTCTTTTTTTTTTTTTTTTTTAAGTTAATAATAATTATTTGTGATGGTGTAAATTATAACGCGTTCAACACGACAGTCATTTTTTCACGCGAATTTTCGTGATGGTACGGCATGGCTGATTTGCAACATTGTGGACGTTAGGTTGTTACTTGATTTATTAGGATTTCAAGGAAAAAATTAGTGAAATGATTATCGTTTTCTGAGTTTATATGCAGAGTGAATATTTGCAAAGAAATTGAACATCGTCTGTGATTAAAACACGTAAATTTATAAATTTTCTAGGTTCAAACAATTCAAAGTGATCGAAACAATTTTGGGAATCATTGGAGTCGTAAAATTGTTTAAAGAATATTTTAGTTTTTCTTTGAAATAATTACAGATTCGTTCTAATACAAATTATGGATTTCAATTTGGTACAATGAAAAATTCACCGTATTAATCTGTTATTCGTTTATTAATAAAGTGATGGAAATAATTTTGGAAATCATCGGAGATATAAAATCACTTAAATAATATTCTAATTTCTGTGTTAAATTATTATTTATTTATTTTCAGCCTCATGGCTGTGAAAAGGAAAATTTCTGGTTTGAATTAATTACTGATTCATTTTAATAGAAATTATACATTTTAATTCGATCTGTATGTAACGTTAACTTTTGGCACAATGAAATTAATTAACAAATATTCATTCTTCGTAAATTTCTGAAATATCTATAAATGGTACTCGCTCTTCGAAAATATATTCTCCTAAAATCAACGTCTCGAGCATTATGTACACTCAGTGAAAAAAAATACAATATTTAAACATTATCTCAGTATTGCAATCCATTCGTACAAATGATCAGCTGCGAGTTGAACGCGTTAATGCTACTTCGCGATCGACAATTAATTTCAAAACATCAATTTTATCGCTCTCGTGATTGGTGACAATTCTTGTTCGTAGAATGTAACCTGTTCCTTTAATTCGCATATAGTCGTTGTTGAAAGATCGAGCTTTTGTAATCAAGCTTGGCCAATCTTTCGACACTTCGTGACACTTTCAACGTAGCTTCCTTAACGTTTCGCAAAATAACTGCTTCTTATCGAAAAAGAAAGAAAAAAAAAATAATCTGAAACAAAAGAGCGCGCTACTTCCGTTGTTTCTTTTTTTTTTTTTAAATTCGCGATCTATTCTCGTACGAGCGTTTTTGTTTTTTTGTTTTTTTTTTTTAAATCACGGGCGACGCGATAGTAAATCTGTCTTTTTCTTTTTACCTATTTTTACTTTTTTTAAAATTTTTTTTTTTAAACGTCACTAGATTAGCGGCCTTTGGTGTGCATTGGAACATTGGATGTGTAGCGAACATTTATATATGGCTTCAGTACAGTTTTCTTTTTGAGTTTTGACTTTGCGTTTGCTTCCGCAGGCGCATTCTACCAGAACGATGTCGTTCGACTCGATGTCGAGAACTCGTCAGCATTTTTTTTTTTTTTTCATTTATCTTTTGTGCTTTTTAGAGAGAAAGGCGCAGGCTGCTGCGAGTACTCGAAAAGTTTCACAAACGATACTAGTGGTCCTTCCAGAATTAGAAATTGTTAGGGAAAAGGAACGAAATTAGTTTTATTCGATAATAATAATTTTGGTACAATTTTGAGGTCGAGAGACAAGCGAATTAAAATTTATACGTGTAATAATTAAAAATGGTAATTTAAATCGGATCGTTAATTGTTAACTGTGAAACCTTTTGAGTACACGCAATACATTAAGCAAACACGCATTAATGTAGTATCTCGATCTCGGGTTTTCACGAGTAATCAGAGTGTAGGCGTTTTTGGACAGACTATTTCATTCGTATTTTTTTTTTTTTTTTTTTGATAAATGTTACTTCGAACGTCGTTCAATTTATGCACAAGTGAATTTATGTTGTAACATTATAATTTTCTAAAAAAATTTCCATCACACTCTTTTAGGAAATTGAAAGGAAATTTCGGAATAAAAATATGCTTCTGGTGTTTCGAATTTCTGTATAGCTTCTGTTTCCTTTATATTTTCAAGGCTTACTATGTTTAATTCCCACGTACTCTCCGCTAATTTATAAAGATTCACTTAAAAAAACATCCTTGGAATATACAACAATATACTGTCCTTGTAACAATGCGTATTTGACGCTTAAAAAGAAAACAAAAACAAAGCCCCATTATGCAACCGTACGTTATATAATAAAAGAAGAATCCTTGCAGAAGAAAACCTCGTAACTTTCTTACCATCTTCTTTACCAGCATATGCAAAATGAGCTTACGTTACGCAGCAAGATTACACCGCTCGTCATAATTCAATATCGTCTACTGATCTCATAATTCTCGCCACGTAATATTCTGTCCAATTCTTCCTATATTCTGAATTAATCAAAAA